ACTGGGTGAAGAATTTTACATATACTTGCTCATCTCCGGAAAAAAAATGTACAGTTTGCTCGTCAGCTTGCAAGGCCGATGCACCGTACATTCATTGTGTTGTGTGTTTTAAATTGTGTATTGTTATGATGCCTTTTATTTCCTGTCTGTACCCCTTTCCCTGACTGAATTGTGAGCCGCCCTGAGTCCCCTTCGGGGAAAAGGGCGGCATATAAATGTAATAAATCCAAATCCAATTGTGGGTGGAGATTTTAGCATTTTTTACTAACAGGGTTACTAAAAGGCATCAACTCGCTAATGATACGATACACCCAATGGGTTTCAATTGCATGACGAATAAGCCACGGTGAATGAAGCTTAAAGGTAAAAGTTCCCTTCGCACATACGTGCTAGTCGTTCCCGACTCTAGGGGGCGGTGCTCATCTCCGTTTGAAAGCCGAAGAGCCAGCCCTCTCCGAAGACATCTCCGTGGTCATGTTGCCGGCATGACTAAACGCAGAAGGCCCACGGAACGCTGTTCCCTTCCCACCAAAGCAGTGGTGGGATTCAAATAATTTAACAACCGGGTCTCAGCCGTAATGATTTCTTCCAACAACCAGTTCACCAAACTGCTTAGAAAGTTACCAACCGGTTCTCCCGAAGTGGTGCGAACTGGCTGAATCCCACCACTGCACCAGAGGTGGTTCCTATTTTTCTACTTGCATTTTATTTTTTACGTGCTTTCGAACTGCTCGATTGGCAGAAGCTGGGACAAGTCACGGGAGCTCACGCCGTTATGCGGTGCTAGGGATTCGAACCGTTGAACTGCCGACCTTTCTGATCGACGAGCTCAACATCTTAGCCTACCTACCAGTTCGCAAATATGAGCACACCCTGTCCAAGCATCTGCTCGGCCTTCGCATGAATGCGCTTCGATTTGCGCGCGGCTTCCACGCATGCACAGATTTCCACTACCAGTTCGTGTGAACCAGTCCGAACCGGCTGAGTACCTCCTCTGAATGGAACCCAACATTTCAACATGGGTCTATCAAACAGCTCGAAAAGCGAGCTGGGGGTTTCTAAAGTTGACAAGAGATTTGGGGTTTTTTTGGGGGGGGGTGTTCCTGTCTTGCAGGAATCGGGGAGTTTCTTTCTAAAACAGTGCACAGGGCATTTTCTGACAACCGAACCCCAAAATTTCCATTGGTAAGCGAGACATCGGTGAAGTGAATTTTGCTCCATTTGATGACCTTTCTCACTGGGGTTGTTAAGCGAATCGACAGGGTTGATAAGTCGGCGACAACAGCTGTTAAGCGAATCCAGCTTCCCCGCTGGTTTTGCCCGTCGGAAAGTCGCAAAGGGAAATTGCGCAACCTTGAGACACAGCCACGGTCGTTAAGCACGAAGCGGTCGCCGAGCGTCTGAATTTGCATCACGTGACCACGGGGATACTGCAAAGGTCATAAGTGCGGGGGGGAAATGGTAGTGAGTCGCTTTTCTCAGTGCTGAATGGTCTCTAAATGAACTGTTGTAAGCCGAGGACTTTCTGTGTTACCTATTTTAGAGCATCTGGTCCACTTTTGATGTGCTCCCGGAAAGACACTGCAATCTCGGTACTCTTAAATCATGGTATTATGTATTGGCATTATGTTGGCATGGAGGAGAGTCCACAAATTATTCAATCTAGCTTGGATAGGAGAAAATGTTAAGCACCAGCCTTTGAGGGTGCAGACGCAAACTAGATGCGTATCACACAGAGTCTTCTTAACAAGATTTATTGAGCTGAAAGTGATACAGAGATACGAGGATGTCAAGAGCCTAAGCTGTTTCCACTACAGCTTAAAATGAAAATGAAACAAATGAACTTTGGGGCAGCATTTTATAAATACGTGGAAGTGAATTAAAGATTCTGGCAAACAAAAGAATCACAGTTACCACACATATTCGATTTCAGAGTTCTGTTAAAATTAGAACGGTAGAAAAATACCATAGGCAGATAGATAGGAAGGAGGGAAGGAAAGAAGGAGTGAAAGGAAGGAGGGAGAGAGGAAAAAGAGAGAAAGGGAAGGAAGGAAAAAAGGGAGGGCAGGAAGGAAGGAGGAAGAAAGACAGGAAAGGAAGGAGGGAGAAAAGAAAAAGAGGGAGGGAGGGAGGAAGACAAGAAACAAAAAAGTAGGGAGGGAAGGGAGGGAGGAAAAAAGGAGCGGGGAAGGGAAGAAAGGAGTGAAAGGAAGGAGAAAAGGAGGAAAAAGAGGGAGAGGGAAGAAGGAAACAGAAAAAGGGAAAAGGAAGGAAGGAAGGAAGGAAGGAAGGAAGGAAGGAAGGAAGGGACAGGAAAGAGGGAGGGAGAGAGGACGATAAGAAAGGCAAAAAGTAGGGAAGGAGTAGGGAAGGAAGGAAGGCTAAAGAGAAAGGGAAAACAGGAGGAAGGGAAGGAAGGAAGAAAAAGAGAACTGGAGGAAAGAAGAAAGGAAGAAAGGAAAGAAAGAAGGGATTTTACGTGTCTTGCATCACAGGGAAAAAACAAAATCAATCAGCAAAGAGACTAGAAAGAACCGAATCTTTCTCTCGAAAAAAAACCAAACAGAGCCAAATGTAAGTATCATTAAGTTGTCCAGGTATTTCACATTTCATTTGTTCGTATTATTGTGAACTTCCACAGAAATAGGGGAAGTGGCCTTAGGAGATGCTGAACGAGGGCCCTGGAAAACAGAAATCTCAGAGACTTAGCTAAACTGAGAGCCCCACCTGGCCAATGTTCTTCTTCTTCTTTTTTTTTGAGGAAGAAAAATCAATTGAAAAGCCCAAACAAGTCATTCTTGATTATATTTTATATTTTATGGCAGACATAACAGCCTTCGCTGACGGAACAAAAGACTCAAAATTCAGCCGGGGGTGGGGGGAATAGACTGGAAAAACTCTTTTCCCAACATTTGAACAGGATAACAGATATAAGCTCTTCCCTAACAAATTACCTGCCCACACACACACAAAAACCTTTTGAAAGAAAAGAACACGATGTCGATCCATAAAAATTCTGGCAGAGGAACAAATCTGATGCAGCCCCAAGAGCCAAGGAAGTATAAAGCCCTTTCTCCATTCGAAACTTCCAGAAACCCCCCAATTATCCTTATGCCAGAAAGAAAGAAAAAACCAGTAAGAAGATCACATTTGATATCCTTTCGTTGAGGGTCAAGCGATGCAATGAAG